AACCGCCTCTGAGTAGAGGTCGGTGGGTATATAATGAGGGAGGGGGGCGAATTTTTGAAAAGCAGGGTAGGTCGTTTGGGAAAACGCGAAATTTCGCGGTTGGCTTAGGCTTTACGGATCCCTGAGGGGATTATTAGAAACCACTCGACTGTTAGGGGCGTCTGTCTGTAAGGGAGCACGGGCTCCACAGGATGCTGGGGTTGGTAATTATGAAGATAGAACAAAGGGCAAGCTCCTATCGCACGGGTAATACAGTCAAATCGGAATGCCACTCAAAGTGTATGAGTGCAGTGAATGTGTATTGCTTGCTTGAAGAACCAAGCAAGAACTATCTAAGACCGTAGCTACGGTCGCCGTATATATCTAAGGCGGACTGTTACGATCCTGGCACAGGTGTGCAGGAGGCGCCTTGAGCCCCCCTGCAGATTGGCTGGGGCAGCCAGGTGGGGTAGACCCACCTAGGGGCTGGTGCAGCCAACCAGGAGGTGGTCAGTCACGACGGGCCGCCAAGGCCCGACTGACCACCACTGGCAGGACGGTCAACCAGTCAGGAAGCGGTCAGTGTGATCAGTGCGATCAGTGTAGACTGATCGCAGTGATCGCTCTGACTTTTGGAGAAGGACTCTGATTGGTCCGCCTTAGATAGATATATACAACGACCGTAGCCACGGTCTTAGATAGTTCTTGCTTGGTTCTTCAAGCAAGCAATACACATTCACTGCACTCATACACTTTGAGTGGCATTCCGATTTGACTGTATTACCCGTGCGATAGGAGCTTGCCCTTTGTTCTATCTTCATAATTACCAACCCAGCATTCTGTGGAGCCCGTGCTCCCTTACAGACAGACGACCCTGACAGTCGAGTGGTTTGTAATACTACGGAAGACCATCAGGGGGAGGCGAAGATCGTGATCGAACCCCTCTCGCCCAAACCTTGCCGAGAAGGCAAAACTGATTGGAGGACTTGTCGACAGGCAGGCTGCCAAGTCCACCAGAGGCAGAAGCTTGAGGACTGGCACAGAAGAAGGACCCAGCACCTCACCCACTCCAGAAACAGGAGGCTCAACAGGGCGCACCGTTCGTGGCCTTCGGTTGAGTACCGCCTGGAGGCAGAGACGATGAGGAGGATCGAGCCAGAAGAATCCGCTTATCGAAGCCACGACGAACGGCTCGTTAGGTTCCTTCATCGTCAGTACGAGAAGCGTTTGGGAAACGACTCGCGGGCCTCCAGCAGGCCCGAAGGAAGCGAATAAAACCCACGTTTCAACGGACCGATACCGAAGATTGGAGGCATCTTGCGGTCGGGTCCTCAGAAAGCCCTCAACAACGGTCTTACCCGGACGAACAGATCGTCAGCAGGGTAGAGGCAGATGCACGATTCCCACGTGGGCTACACGTTCAGGCCCAGTGCGAATGGAGGACGAAGAATCCTCGGGAGCCAGTCACGCTCCTAGCGAAGATCGATGGCGGGAGTGACAGGAACGTCATCTCGGAAGATCTTGTTACGAGGCTCAGAATCCCATGGAGAACGAAGGCAGTACCGTTACGACTACGGACCTTTGAGGGAGAGCTTATGAAGCACAACGGGGGGCGTTGTACGAGAGAAACCCAAGAACTCTTGATCACGGTTGATGGACAATCTCACATCGTCGTTTTCGACATCGTACCCTTGAGTAAGCAGGTCGATATACTGCTAGGGGACCCTTGGATGGAAGAATATAACCCCGACATTTGGTGGAAGAAGGGCGAGAAGTTCCTCGCCAGCCGCCAAGAGCACAGCCGAGGCTCGGGACGCCGAACTCGAGGAGAAAACCGCCAAGAGAACGGCGAAGGGCCACCCAAGAATACGGGTAGGAGCCAAGATCGCCTTACAGGCCAACGCAGGGATCGAAAACGGTCGACTGAGCAAGAGGAAGAGCAAGAAGAGAGGTTCATTATGCTCATCCACGCTAGCGAGCCAGATGAAGACGACTTGAGCAAGACACCGGATGAGTTCAAGGGCGTACCACACGAATACTTGAAGTACGACATCTTCAGAGAAAAGATGAGGGACGAATTACCCTCACATGGTCCATTTGACCACGAGATCAACCTCAAGGAGGGTGCGAGACTCAGGAAGCACAAGATCTACCATATGACCCCACAGCAAGATGAGGCTATGAAGGAATACCTGGATGAGAACCTACCCAAAGGCTTCATCAGGCGTTCACGGTCACCAGTGGCGTATCCAGTGATCTTCGTACCGAAGAAGCATGGAAAACTACGCATGGTTGTGGACTATCGTTCACTAAACGAAGAGACGATCAAGAATCGTTACCCGCTTCCGTTGATTACCGAGATGAGAGATCGGCTTTCCGGAGCTCAGTGGTTTACGAAACTTGACCTACCTTTTGCGTTTGGCCACATCAGGATCAAGAAAGGAGATGAGTGGAAGACGGCTTTTCGAACGAGACACGGCCACTTTGAGTACCAAGTGATGCCGATGGGCCTGACCAACGCTCCAGCATCGTTTCAGGAGATGATTGACCATACTTTACGGCAAGCGATAGACGACTTCGCTATGGTCTACGTCGACGATATCTTGGTCTATAGCAAGACCCTCAAGGAGCACAAAAAGCACGTGCACCAGGTGCTGAAAGCTCTTGCGGGAAAGGGACTCTCGGTTAATCACCATAAGAGCGAGTTCCACACGCAGAAGACGACTTTTCTGGGATTTGAGATATCGCCAGGGGAAGTTCGAATCAACCCAGCAAAGATTGCGGCAGTCAGAGACTGGCCCGCACCAGAGAACCCCACAGACGTCAAGTCCTTTATTGGATTTGTAGGGTTCTGCCGGATGTTCATTAAGGAATTCGCGGCTATCGCGCGACCGCTTCATGAACTCACCACCAAAGATACCCCTTGGGTATGGGAGGAAAGGCACCAGCAAGCCTTCGACTTGCTTAGGCAGAGGATGATCGAGGAGCCTGTTCTAAAGCTCCCCGATTTCAGCAAGCCTTTTGAAGTCGAAACAGACGCTTCAGACTATGCTTTGGGAGCAGTACTCAAGCAGAAGCATGACGGCCACAAGCACCCAGTCGCCTACATCTCTAAGGCTCTCCACGGCGCCGAGCAGAGATGGCAGATTCACGATAAGGAGCTAAAGTCGATCATCTACGCTTTTGAGGACTGGCAACCATACCTCAGTGGAACGGAACACCCCGTACAGGTGTACACCGACCACCAGAACCTCCAGCAATGGGCCAAGAAGCAGAAACTCAGCGGCAGACAGACACGTTGGGCAGAGTTTCTCGCGCCATTCAACTTCGAGATCCACCACATCAAAGGCACAGAGAACGCCAGGGCGGATGCTCTTAGCCGGAGACCAGACCACCGGGTCAAGGGCGAGCAAGTGGAGTCTCCACCGCTCTTTGAGAAAGACGGAGATGTGCTGCGCCACCCGATCGAGGACTGGTACGACTGTTGCATGGTCTATAGAGTAGACTGGGCCAACGAAAAGAAATACCAGTTTCAGGTCACTACTCCAGAGGAAGAAGAAGACCTTCCGTTCGGTACTACTACCGACGGCCTAGGCAAAGTCTGGTACGGAAACAAGATGTACGTCCACCCGGACGTCCAGGCGGAAATGATCAGGGAGCATCATAGCGCTAGGCTCAACGGGCATCTTGGGCAAGCAAAGACGCTCGCCAGAATCCAGCAATGGTACGACTTTCCCAAGATCAGAACTCGGGTGAAGGAAGTACTAGAAGAATGCGAGGAGTGCAACAAGAGCAAGGCAAAACGGCACATGCCGTACGGGCTCTTGGAACCACTGCCAGTCGCCGAAGATCCATTCAGTTCAATTACAATGGACTTCATCACCAAACTGCCACCCTCGAAGGACCCAGTTACGGACGTGGTCTACGACGCGGTTTGGGTAGTTGTGGATAGGTTTACGAAGTATTCGTACTTCGTACCCTTCAAAGAGACTTGGGATACCGCACGGTTCGCCAAGGTCTTTTGGAAGCACATCGGGTCAAAGCACGGTTGGCCAAGAGAGATCATCACAGACCGAGACAAGCTATTCGTCTCCAAGTTCTGGAAGAGTCTTACGGAAGAGATGATGACGAGAGGCAAGCCTTCGACATCACACCACCCGCAAACCGATGGGCAGACAGAGCGGCTCAACCAAATCCTGGAGACCTATCTCAGGATCTACGTCAACTTTGAACAAGATGACTGGGTTGACCTCTTACCAAGCGCGGAGTTCAGCTACAACACCGCGGTTCTGGAAGCTACCGGAACCACACCCTTCTTCAACCTCTTCAAGCACGACGCGGATCTTAGGCAGGGACCACCTGCGGAAGCACCAAGCGCGCCCCGTGCAAGAGTGGTTGCGGATCGGGTCAAGGAACTCCACGTTTACCTCCAAGGGAGACTCGAGTTAGTACGCCAGCACATGAAGGAGTACTACGACAGACACAGGCTCGAGGGACCTCGCCTAGAGGAGGGGGATAAAGTTTATCTCTCTACGAAATTTTTGACGACAAAACGGCCAAGCAAGAAGCTGGACTTCAAGAGAATTGGACCGTTCAAGATTGAGAAAAAGGTTGCGACTTTCAACTACGCACTTTCACTACCTAGCTCGATGAAGCTAAGGACTAACGTCTTTCATATTTCACTTCTGGAACCAGCACCCAAGAATGCACGACTGGAAGAAGACGTCGAAGTCGAGGACTTCGAAGAAGAATACGACGTCGAGCGAATTCTGGATTCACGACTCGTACGAGGAGAACTTCAATACCTCATTAAGTGGCTTGACTGTGGGAATGAGGAGAACTCGTGGGAACCAGTTTCACTATTGAGTTGCCCAGAAAAGATCCAAGAATTCCACCAGCAAAATCCAGATCGGCCTAAGGAGCTCGCGAAGGTAGCTCCAAGGCGCCGAACGCGGGCACGCAGATAGGGAGAGGAGTCGCGCTGTCAGACCCGACCCGGAACAAGGAAAAACAAGTGGCGGTCAACCACTTGCGGAGGGAGCAGGCAGAGGCTCAGGGGTCCGGAAGTCGAACTCATAATCGACCCCCGGTTGTCCCCAGTCGGCGGCAGCAGGAGTATCGACCAGGGCGGCCTCGGGAGCAAGGCGCGCCTCTTCGTTACGCTCCTCCTCTTCTAGCTCTGCAATGGCCGCGTCCTCGTGAGAAAAGATCTTCGCTATTTTGGCCTGGAAGGCAGCACGCTGGCGCTGGACGCGCCGGCGCCGAGCAGTCGCGGATTTTCTCTTTTCGGCAGCAGCGGCGCTCTCCGCGGCAAACTCGGCGGCAGCAGCGGCGCTCCTTTCGGCAAATTTCGCGGCCGCCGCAGCTTGTAGGGCAGCAGCCTCCTCGTCCAAGGAAATGGCTTCCTCCCCCGCAGCTTCAATCAGAGCACGCTCGCTTTGAAGCGCGCGGTCTGGACGGAATGTCAGGACGACGAATCCGGCAAAGTCGGAGGAAGACCTACAGTCAGGCCCGTTAAGGCCGCAGCGCATGTTCCCAGCGCGGGTGCATTCAGCACAGCGCTTGGCGTTCGGAGGAGCCCGACAGGTCAGGGACTTCTCGCGGCACCGCATGCAGGAAGGCATAGCTTCGTCGGATAAGGAGTAGTTGTTAGCGCGTGTGTCGACGTAAGGTGCTTTCGCAATCGTTTTCTTAGGAAGGAAACTCATGGTTAGCCATACGCCGTTAGGGCGTTGTAAGGAGGAAGGGACTCACTCTCTAGGGTGTTCGGTCGCTAGTAGTCGTTGGCTTCGGGACGAAGCCTAGAGAGGAGGGGCATCGTGTTACGATCCTGGTTCAGGCGCGCAGGAGGCTGCACGGAGCCTCCCGCTATTGGCTGACGCAAGGAAGTGGGGTAGTTCCCCGCTTCGCTCAAGTGCAGCCAATAACGGGGCGGTCAGTACGATCAGCATGGTCAGGGCGATCAGTGAGGGAACTGATCGCACTGAGCACACTGACCGCACTGATCACCTAGGACCAACGCTCTGATTGGTCCGCCTTAGATAGATATATACGACGACCGTAGCCACGGTCTCAGATAGTTCTTGCTTGGTTCTTCAAGCAAGCAATACACATTCACTGCACTCATACACTTTGAGCGGCATTCCGATTTGACTGTATTACCCGTGCGATAGGAGCTTGCCCTTTGTTCTATCTTCATAATTACCAACCCCAGCATTCTGTGGAGCCCGTGCTCCCTTACAGACAGACGACCCTAACAGTCGAGTGGTTTGTAATACCTGGCCCTCGCAAAGGAAGGTGGGCGAGGGCCACTATTTATATACATAGTTGGGTGGCTCAATCTGGCGGGTGCCTGGGCCGGGTGTTTGGGGCCAGCTGGTCGCCTGGGCCGGGCCAGCTGTTTGGGGCCAGCTGGTGGCGCCTGGGCCGGACCGGGCGTTTGGGGTGCTCTTTCCTTACAATTCGACTGGCATAACACGCAGTATAACCGTAACCTGTATTGTGGAATCTAAAGCTAAAGAAGGAAAAGGAAGATGTTGCGGGGAGCGGGCAAGGCGCGGAGTTCTAGGTATGGTGCGGACCACGTGATAGGTACGCACAGACCACACTCCAGCACTACGTCATTGACACCACCACGGCACCCGCCGTGACACTACCGTCCTGTCTCGTTCCTCGGAAAGTTCAATGCCTATCTCTCGGCATCTATTCCGGGCTTCATCTAGAAATCACGGACTACCTGTCTAGGTGCTGCATTGTTGAGATACCCAGCGTAAGTCATGTCAAGTGG